CTGAAAAAAAAAAAAAATCAGTTAACTTTTTTTTTTTTTCAGGGGCTCTAATCCTCTTCCGTACATCTGCCATAAATGAGCATTTTGGTGTTAAAGGTGCATTTCTCCCCTTTGGGTTGGTTCCTCACAGCAGTGAAAGGTCGTCACTGAAGCAGGTTTTAGTGGCTGAAACGCTTTAATCTGGCAGAAAGTGGTGGTTTGCTGCGTTTATAGCAACAATCATCAATAATGTACTTTATTCCACTTATTCCTTCTAGGTGTGTAATTTTGTGTAAATATAGTGGAACAGAGACTCTTGTGGCTCATTAATATTGAACATTTTAAGAGGTGCTGCTTTGTTGGGTTACCATCATTACTGGAGCATTTCTTTGCAAAGACTTTCTGGCTTTTAACGAGAGAATTTGTTATGAATTTTATTTCTTTGTTGAGAAACAATGAATATTTAATTAAAGCATCTGTTTCCTCACTGTAAAGGAAACGATTACAAAACAAAAATCATTTTTGGGACCAACCAAAAGGTGGAAACCAAGTGTTAAATACAGAAACAATAACGTAAGTCTGTAATAAAAGGTGGTTGTGATCTTTTACATTATCAGATGAATGATATTGAGTTAGAAATACGTTTGTAGATATCTAAATGTGTCAATTTAAGTCAAATATTTTACACTTTGCGGAAAAAAACCCAAATAGAAATCACAGATTTACAAACAGGAATCACAAATGTATGATTACAAATCACCATAACTGGTATATTTCAGATTTATTCTCATAAATGTGTGATTCTTACTTCTAAATGTCTAATTTTTTATTGTATTGTTGCTGAGTTTTAACTTATAAACCTGTATTCTCACATAAAATCTGATGCATCTGAGTTGATAACAAGAAACACATAAAATCTTTAAACTTATTTAAGCTTTCATACATCTACACGTGTGTTTTAATGGACTTTTATGTAGTTTCCAGTACTTTTACCTCTAACTTTAGGTTACTTCCACAGCTTGAATTCTGCTAACTTTGGTGTTTTTGTCAGGAAATGTGGGAAAATCAACTTTTTGAGGCTGACTGTTTGCTTAAGGTTTAATTTTAACAACAAAAACAGCTGCTGGAGAAGTACGAAGTCTTCTTATTTATTTATTATCTAAGCATAACTTATATTTATAGCGTTGAGGAACAGATTTTCTGATTCTTTGTGACCACAAAGGTTGGCGGTTTGAAGCCCAGACTGTTACTGAAAGCAAAATAATTGGATGAAACAATTCAGATAAGAATTTTTCCCCACAGAGGGACAATAAAATCCAAATAAAAATATCAACTTTTTGTTTTTTTTGAACTTTTATTTTTCGTCTTCTTACATTTTTCCAAACAGAAATTAATCAAGTTACATTTCAGCAAAGTATAAATAACACTTAAAAGAATATTAAACACAACCGATAAATAATGGGACGATTAAGAAAAGAAGTAAACAAAACAAATTCCTCATCTGCTTTTCTAGCTTCTTTACTCTAAACACAGAGATGTTGTTTATCCATGTTTCATCTGTCATTCAGCCGCTTCTTCCATCATTTTATCTGGTTTTTCATGGCTATCATCGGTAAACATATATTAATATAAAACAAAACATACAGAAATTTCAAAAAGTATATTTCTAAAGTAAAAAGTTATAAAAAAAAAGTTGTTGCAAAGTTATTATTAAAGATTATTTGCTTATTTATTATATTATCTAAGTTAAAACTACTTAGAAATAGCAGAAAAAATAATTTAAGGTTTGGCAAACCTAAAAGCAAAACCTAAACCTAAACTTAGTGCCTTAAAAGTTTGAGTTCATTCGATTTTCTTGTCTTAAAGATGAAATCAGGTCTCAGGACTTTTTAGCAGGGTCCAGTTTCTGCATTATTCACCAAGGTCACCCGAACGCATCACAGGAAGATCAGATATAAGTCCTGAAAACTTTCAAACTCTGCTTCCTCTGCGCAGAAAGCAGAAAACTCTGAAAGATCGTTGAGCTTTAAAGTGTTTCAGTTTAACTCAACATCTCCTGATTCCACGATTTCCCCAAAGCAGAACAAAAACCAGCGAGTTAAAAACCTCCCGACTCGTCTCCAGGACTCTGGTTCAGAGTAAATGAATATTTAGCTGCCTCTGAAGACATTTCTAAAGGTTTCTCGGAGTGGCAGATGTTAAAAGTCGCTCTCTCCAGAGGGGACGTGTGACCTCTTTCCTCTGTTGAACATAATATCATTTGTTGAGGACTAAAACGTTTCAGCTGGAATCAAACGTCTGAAGCGCTGGCAGGGATGGAGTCATTCTTTCCTTTTTTTTTGTTCCTGTCGGCAGGCGGCTACATGGAAGCTGCAGTTGTTGGTCGGTGCAGTTTAG